AGAGAGAGAGAGAGAGAGAGAGAGAGAGAGAGAGAGAGAGAGAGAGAGAGAGAGAGAGAGTGATCTTCTTCTTCTTCTTCGTTGTCGCTTCTTTTTCCTCCCCTTCTTCTTCACTTCTTTCGTCGTCGTTGTCGTCTTCTTCTCTTTCATCGTCACTTCTTCTTCTTCTTCTTCTTCTTCTTCTTCTTCTTCTTCTTCTTCTTCTTCATCGTCGTCGTCGTCGTCGTTGTCGCTTCTTCTTCCTCCTATTCTTCGTCTTCGTCCTCTTCTTCTTCTTCTTCTTCTTCTTCTTCTTCTTCTTCTTCTTCTTCTTCTTCTTCTTCTTCTTCTTCTTCTTCTTCTTCTTCTTTCTTCTTCTTCTTCTTCGCTTCTTCTTCACACCCGTTTCGAGCCCCGTTCCCCTCCCTCTCTAATCGTCAGGATCGCGCCCAATCTATGGCCCCCCCCACGTGCCCCTGTCACGCCCCGTGTGCTCCTTGCTCCCCGACTCTTTCCCACCCGCTCTCCACACGCTCACCATCCCGATCACCCACCTGCGCCCTCCCGACGTCGTTCCCCTCCCCCCCAATCGTCTCGCTTCCCGCTACCTTCCCGCTCCCCCACCTGGCGCACAGGTACGCGCGCACGCTAACCCCCCTCTTCTTCGTCTGTGTATGGTTGGGGCTGGCGCATTCTTCCTGTGTGAGCGCCAGACCCCTTCACACCATGGAGTGATGATGATGATGTATGTTCGGGGCTGCATTGCAATATTGATTGTTCGGATCATTGGTATCTAAGTTTTCCGCTGCGCTATCTTGTACTTTGTGAGAGAGGTTGGTTCTTGTTCTGGTCTGCACCGTTACAGTATGCAACACTTATCTTCCATTGGTTCAAAGAAGAGCCCCAGGAAGAGACTATAGATGATCAACCTTTGACACAGGAACTGAGGCTGCCATAAGGGGAAAAAAAAAAAAGAAAAAGGAAGGGGGCAAATGCAAAGACGGGAGGCCAAGAAAGTTCTACATAACATGCTGGAGATGGATTTTACGGCACAATGACAAAGAGTAAGAAGATAATCCCAACAAAACCCGGAGAAAGACCGGGAGACGTTCAAAACGTTTCAGAGGGTTACGTTGGTTAAAGTTAAGGTAGCAACAATCGAAGCATCCAGCGTAGTCTTTCACTGGTTTGGGAATACGGAGCAACGTGAGCAAGAATAGTGCGTCAGATTCCCTGAGGTAGTACACCAAAATTATGCCAGCATTGAAACTGAGGGCTTAGGGTTCAGGGTTTAAGGTTTACACAGGAGCAATGAAAATAGGGCTTGGGGTGTTGGGGATTTCGAGAGGGGTTCCAGGAGACTCTAGTTAGAACACAATTATCTGGCAGTTACAATACTGAGAGGAGTCCAACTGGGATCACAGGGATGATGGAAGCAGTAAAAACTCAGGCATAATTATGCAGGGGTGAGGGATGGTACATCCTTCCTTATGGAAGTAATCAATGCCGTCTACTTGGGCCTCCCAGCCATAATGGGGAGGAGTGTGTGTGATTTTCTTATGTATATATTATTGACTTGCCGGGGGAAAGGAACCGGTGTGTCGCCCCCCAGAATGGTAGGAGCCAGAACCATAAGATTCTGTTTTTTGGAAAAAAAAAAAAAAAAAAGAGTACATCGGGATGGAGCAAAGACCTTTTACTTAGATCTGACTTAATCATGTCACCATTCAATAAGTTGTGTCCCCTTTGTTTCCCTATTGACTATCATGCCACTTCTGTATCGAGTCTCTTCGATTTGGACTCTCTGATGGTCTGAATTGATGGTTTGAATCGCTAAAAAAGACCATACCTACAGTCCTTCTGAAGTCCACCATTCTGTCTGCCAATCACAAACCTTTCGACCATTTGTAACCGTTTCTCCAGCTTCCAGAGAAGATGGAAAATGTTCGAGCAATTTTCACCTCCATCACTCATGCAAGCTTGAATGAGAAGAATGATCGAAAAGTTTACACCAAACTTGTCCTGGATTATCATATCGGCTTGA